GGGGGAGTATAAGCGATCTGTGTCTCGGGGAATGGGGAGAAGGGGGTATAAGCGATCTAGGTGTGGAACATTTGCAGATAGACAAACGGGACACAGTTATTTTTTCCCCTGGTACAGACCAATATTACATATGAGAAGCTAATCTTGACATAGATCTTTGTAATGAATTGCGCGCTGGACTGTGGAATCAAACGTTGCTGTATGCTAGGCTCTACACAGCAAAATAACTTGTTTGGCAAATAATCCGCTATAGAAGATAGATGACACAGGGGTGCATTTGAACATATATTTTCTTGGATTTTTTCAGCATTTCTTCGGCATCAAAGAAGCGAAAATTCCTCTCATGTGAAACCAAACTACATGTACTTTGATTTAGAAAGACGAAAACATTATACATTACTTGCTCGGTGCTTGTAATTATCTACACAAAAACCTCACATTTGCTTTAACGAACACTCACACTCGACGAAACTGAAGGCCACGTCCGACGACTTCGTTGAATCCGAGTTCTACGGTATTCGTTACCGGTGAATCTGAATCATAGATGTGTCCTACTATTTGCCGTTCCTCTACTGATATCTCTTTAATTATTCGTCACCAGTTACCCGAATTAAGGATGTGCGTCGAATGCATTTCATACATCAGCTCCGACGTGTTTTAATCATCCATGCCCAACTGTAAAAGAAGCAGAAGACATGAATGACAAAGTTATGTCCAGCTACCTGTCCCTTGGTCATACGGGAAAGTGTGGCACTCTCTCTCCTCATCAGGGAAGTCCACAATACAGTACCAGAATAGTCCGCCTGAGTACTTCACTGTACGTAAGTTGTTTGTAGTGCCATTGATACCCGGAAGTCCTGCACTTGTCGAGTTGATGGTCAGCTGGGGAGGGATTCAAAACATTATCTATATTTTGATGAATTCATTTTTTTTAATTCATTAATTTTTTCAAAGTAAAACTCAGGCTCAATAATACACTAGCGAGACTGTTTACTGTGGTGTAGCTGTTAAGCACTTTGCAGTCGCACGCAGGAGACTTGGAATCAATTCCCAAGAGGGGGAAATTTTTATCAAGTATCTCAGTCTTTCTACTGGGACGTTGTATCCCTCTCAGCCTGGGTTGGCCCTGACAGGCATGGTCGAAAGCCAGTCTCCTAAATTGTATCCATGGGGCCGTAAGAACAACATTAGCAAAAAACAACAACACAAAAACGGTCAGAGGTAGAGAGACAGAGAGACAGAGGGAGAGCGACAGAGTGACAGAGAGCGACAGAGTGACAGAGAGCGACAGAGTGACAGACAGAGAGAGACAGAGAGAGAGAGAGAGAGAGAGAGAGAGACAGACAGACAGACAGACAGACAGACAGACAGACA